TAAACCGCACAATCCTATTAGAGTAGAGCTCCAAGGAAGAGGAGAAGGTGCTTTGGTAAGCGTGAATATACACAGGCAACACTCCTGACAAACCACTATTGTAATTAAATAACAAACCATTTATTCTTCCTTCAAGGTATCATCTTGCATATCCCCTCTTGTGAGACTCTACCTGGCAATATATTCCCAGGAAGGTGGGCTGAGGCGTTCTAATTAACTGTCCCCTCCCAAAGAAAGCATCAAATCAAGATTCTATGTTAGGAGATAACTGCTGTGTAAATGTGTACACAGGACTCCAGGTAGCAACCCTACAGCTTTCTAAGATGAAACCATTATGGAGGCATCCCATTAATGCTGCCTTAAGCTCTGGTAGAGTGAGCGCCAAGACTCTTAGGTACTGACTCCCTAGCTAATATATAACATGTCTCAATGCATGGCTTACTCCATTTAGACAGGTGCAGAGCAGAAATGGCATTTCCTTGATAGCGATCCTCAAAAGGCTACAGAAAGTCTTACTAACTTTCTTAGTCCTATTCAAATAAAAACTGGAAGCACTCTTGACATCTAGGGTATGGACTCTTGTTTCTCCTACGGGTATGGACTTTTGTTTCTCCTATACTTAGAATGCAGTTTTGGTTTTGGGAAGAACACTAGGACCTTACTTGAGTCTACTACTGAATTTCCAATTTGCCACAGAAACAGAGAGGGTGGGGTGGTGTAGAGGGTCGAAGGGGGGAAAGTGGGGCCTTGCCTTAGATTTTTAGTCCAGTTTGTAGGGTACACAGGACCTTGCTCCTAAGGTGCTTAGAAGTGGGGCTCCACTCCTGTGAACATCAAGAAGTTCATGAGAGAGCTGGTGAGATGAGAGTGTAGCTGGCATGGATTTTGAAGATCAAGAGACCAGAAGGGGCATGAAGGGACCAGAGAGTCTCAACTCCTACTGTGCTTAGGAGCTAAACATGGAAAACTAGTGCTGCTTAAAGACAGCAGACACGGGGCCCAATTCTTCTGAACAATAGCAATTACTATCCGACCTCCCTACCCACATGTCCTAAGGTGTGTGTGGGTCGAACTCTCAATGCCTCCATGCCATCTTGGTCGGTGTGTGTGAAAAGTGACAGTGGATATGGGGCTGGGGAAAATGCCACATAAATCCAGGGTGCCCTAGGTCTAATGTGCTTGATTGCACATGTCTACACTGCAAAAAAAAAAAAAAAAACCCACCAAGGCTACGTCTACCCTACTCGCCGGATCGGTGGGTAGCGATCCATCTATCGGGGATCAATTTATCGCGTGTAGTGTAGACGTGATAGATCGATCCCTGATCGCTCTCCCGTCGACTGCTGAACTCCAGCTCGGCGAGAGGCGGAAGCAAAGTCGATGGGGGAGCCGCGGCAATTGACCCAGCGCCGTGAGGACATGAGGTAAGTCGAACTAAGATACGTCGACTTCAGCTACGCTATTCTCGTAGCTGAAGTTGCGTATCTTAGGTCGACACCCCCCCACAGTGTAGACCAGGCCTAAGATTGGTCAGAGGAAATAACTTTGGAATGAGTGATCAGGAGTTTATTCAATTTAAATTAAATGGAAGGATAATAAAAACCAAAGTCATCAACTGTGATTTTTTATTTCAAAAGAGCAGACATTGGGAAATATCGGGCATTAGTTAAAGCAGTAAATTGTACTGAAGACCTCAGGTAAATTTTATGCCATACTCTCACTCTTTATAGGACAAAAAGAGGTTCCCAATTTACCATTAGGTGTCTGGATAGAGGTTAGGAGAGATGTCCAGAGGCTTGCTATTCTCTCTATCCTTCAGTGCCTCCAGGGGACATCCAGTTAGCTTTCCTGGCCAAGACTGGGGTTAAGAAGCAGGATTTGAGAAGAAGTTTGCAGAGTTTTGTTTAGGGTAGGGAGGAATCCCAGTCTGAGGGCAAGTGATCATCACAAGTTCCATAACTTCAGCAGCAACTAGCTCCTTTTGTGCCTGAGAAACTTGTATGAGATCCCTACTAAAAGTTACAGTCCCATTCGGGCACATTGCTGACACTAACCTGCATGAGATCCCCAAAAGGTGCAATCTACTTTATGCATTCTGTTGAGACTGTAGTCTCTGCAGGGGACCTGACTGAAGTTCCAAAGGTTTAAAGTATCATAAACTGCAATTTGTCTAATTTCTAACTACAATACTTCTCTAACTTCCATGAACCTTAGCTATTAGTCTCATAGCAAGGTATGTTAACTTTACCAACAATGATTGCATTTTTTCTGAAGTTACAATCTCTGCCAAATGTAAATTCCATACACCTTAGCTATTTCTGTCATAAAATTTATAAGCTCCATCAGCTCATAGGATTTTGATACACGATTCAAACAGAGAAAGACAGCAATGATTCATTGTGGTTAAGAGATCTGCTGGCAGTGTATACATGAGAGACTCACATGAGTTACAAGCGCCACTGGGAAACCAGCAGAGTTTGTAACTTCTTTTAGCCCTGAAAGTGATAAAAATAAAATTCTCTGAGATTAACATCTGCCAGCTGCCTGGTGGTGCCTGTAAGGTGTTTGAACCCTGGATGGAATGGTTCATAAATGTTACTAATTACTAGCTTCACTGGTTTGTGAGCATAAAAACAATGAGACCTAATACAATAAATAAAGAGAACCCTCCAAAATTCTGGGTTCTGTCATCTTGCCTACTGAGTTTATAAATTATGAGCCTAAAATGAACAGCTCAGGAATATTTTAATTTACTAGAGATGATACTTATAAAGGTCCAAAACACATGCCACTGCAAAATATAAAAGTTTAGCCTCATACAATACAGTGATTCCCATCATTAGGGAACGTAAATGAGGACGTCACAGAAACTATAGCCCTATGTTGTTGCAAAGACATCCATACACATCTCCATAAATTAGCAGGTTACCTTAGGATCTAACCCCTCCAGAGCTGATCACCTATTTGCCTCTGCCTCTTCTACAACTGAGCTAGGGTGTTGCTAAAACAGCTATATATAAGAGGAAGAACAGCCCATGTACGAACCATGTCACCCTCTTTGGCTGCATACTTTAGTCAAAAAGAGGCATGATAATTGTTTATAGCACAAAGTTACATAGAATACACTGCCAGATGGCAGTGCATTCCGTCCAGTGTATCTTATCCACCACACTTCTGTGTTCTGTTCCTACTCTGAGATTGTGCTATAGGCAGGAAGTTGCTGTGACTGAAGTAGAACCCCAAATTTTCCTCAGGGCTTTCACACACCTCCAGCTCCAGTGCTTCTGGAGGAGAAAGGGAGAGTTAGAACCACTGTCCTCCTGAGAAAGCCTACACAGTTCCAAAGTAGGGCCACTTGAGAGGATCTGAAAGGGATTAGAACTTTTAAACCACACCGGAGAGTCTTTTAAATTCATAATGGATTATTTTTATGTACAGAAAAACAAAACTCTTAAGACTCAGGGTTAGTCTACACTGGCAGTGCTTTAACATGGCTTGTGTAGTCATGGTAGAGCACTGAGAGAGAGCTCTCCCAGCGCTCAAAAAAACCCACCTCCATGAGAGGCGTGGCTCTGAGCACTGGTGCATTGTTTACATTGGTGCTTTACAGCGCTGAAACTTGCTGCGCTCAGGGATGTGTTTTTTCACTCCCCTGAGCGAGAAAGCTGTAGCACTGTAAATTTTCAGTGTAGACGAGCCCTCACTCTAGCATCACCACTACTGTGGACGTTACAAAAACTGAAAATGCAGTAGCAGGGAACAGAGATGTGAATGAGCTGAAAAAATTTGACTGGTTCCACCTATTGACAGGAAAACATCCATCAACCTTGGATTAGTACAGGGAACACTCAATTGTCCTTAGATGTATTGTTATTAAAGTCATGCACAAAGAACATAGAGAGAATCAACAATATAAAATGCTGCAAATTGCCAGGTTCATTACAGTTCCTAGAGTTGAAATAAAGGAAGAATACTCTTATTATTGTTATTGAGGAAAGTGAAGTGAAAGAATTATTGTTTATCCCATTCAATGAACCCAGACTTCTCTAAAAGCAATGAGAAATGATTTCTTACAATTAAAATTTCCCCCAACTCATAACCTGGACTTGTCTGCAGAGAGAGGCTAATTCTGAGTTATTTCATCCTATTTACTTTTTCATTTGGAGTTCTCATTTCTACTCCTTGTTCCCAAAAAGAATTAGTATATTAAATGGCATCTAGAAAGGAACTAGTAGCACAAAACAGTATTTTTTTCAATCTAACTAAAGGTAAAAACATGAATTATGTTTTTAATACAATTTTAATTTTAAAATAATACATAATGAACTCTTTACTCTCCATCACCTACAAGCAGCTCTTTAGGGAACTCTTTCGTAAAAGGTTCCTAGGATTGTGGCATTAGGGAAAACAGAGAAGAACCTAATAGGTGTCAAAGTCTACATCAGCTCCCATCAGCAACCCTATCTCTCTATAGAGGTGACATTGCAAGAATGGGGGGAAAATTATTATTGTGTATGAGGAAACAAAGATCTGCAAAAATGAACAGTTAGATATACTATAGTTAATATATTAAATGGCAAGCAGGAGTCCCCAAGGATATGACTACACTGCAATGAGACACCCGTGGCTAGTCCATGCCGCTGACTTGGGCTAAAGGGCTGTTTAACTGTGGTGTAGATGTGTGGGCTTTGGCTGCCACCTGAACTCTGGGACCCTCCCACCTCACAGGGTCCCAGAGCTCAGACCGCAGCCCAAACCCACACATCTACACCACAGTTAAACAGCCCTTCAGCCTGAGCCCCACGAGCCTGAGTCAGCTGGCACAGGCCAGCCACAGGTGTCTAATTGCAGTGTAGACACACCCTAAGACTAAAAAAAACCATAAGAAATGTACACAAAACAGCCCAAGTATTCATACACAAATAAAGGAGATTCTCTCTTTTAAAGCCATCCAATTCTCCCAGAAGGTCAGATCTGAACACTAAATATTCATTTCTTACCTGTGTTCCCATCCCCACTCTCCATTGGTGGTTTACTGGTTTCTGACGGATTGTTCATTCTTGAGTCTGGATTAAAAGAGAGGTAAAGAGATATAAAGTAATAAAGTGGAAAATATTGATGCTGTCTTTTCTAACAAGCTAAGTATAAAATATGACAAGCCTGAATGGCATATATCTCACATACAATGATGATGATCAGGGATGGGATCACAGAAACGTAGGGCTGGAAGGGATTTCAAGAACACCAAGGGATGCAATGGCGAGTCTTTCAATCATGGACTGGGCCATTGTTTTAAAGAATAAATCTCAGCAGCCACATACACAAAACAAGAAAAAGTTGAGAGAATAACAGAAAGGATTCAACAGGGCAAGGGTGCCCAATACTGTGAAAGAATTATAGAAGCAAAGGTCTGGTGAAAAAAGCAGCAATTTATAGATTAAAAAATGCTGGCTTATGCTATGTCCAAATATATTTTGTTTTTCATAAATAAGGAAATTCAGTCATTACAAGGAGAAATATTTATCTAGTCCTGCATTTTTACTTCATAGGAATGTCCAACAGTGTTAGATTATTTTTTTATGGTCTCTTTTCAGTCTCCCTGTGGGTCAATCTCAAAGTGTGTGCTCCTAATTTTCAAATCTGTCAATGTAATATGGTTAGGCTTGGCAGAATTTGATTTTTAATTTTGTTTTATAAAACTGACAAATAACATAGGTTTATTATAAAGCTTTTTTATTTTTATTAATTTAAATTTCCACAGTTCTGGATATTATGGGGGAGGGGGGCTTTCAGAAGGGGTCAGACAATTATTTAATGACAGTAGATATTGAGATTGAAAGTTAAAGCTTTATAACCATTTAAGCACAATTTGTCAACATCACATGTCAAAACATAAAAAGTAAATATCCTTAAATCAAGCTCAAATAAGTTCTCAAGCAGCTTTTTTCTTACCTTACCTATCTGTAAATTTCAATTACTATCAATGGAAATATTTTTTCATCAGTTTGTGTGTATGGTGAAACTTACATTTACTGATATTTATCAATAAAAATCCGATCCTGCCAAGATTAAATATAGTGAACGCAGCAGAGAGCCTTCCCAGGTGGCAGGGAGAGAATACAGTTTCGAGTATCTAACAGCTGCTGTCAGCACAGTATCAACTCTAACTCAGGCCTTCTCATATCTTGCTGGTAACCGCAGCATCTCACATTACCATAGACACAAGACAAGACAGACTATGTCAAGTGGTTAAACAGAATAATTTGGACAGAAAAAAACAAACAAATCCTCAAATGCATCTTCCATCCTCAATTAGCTCAACATAAAACTTTTGATTCAGGGTGTTCTTTTGATGGGTGTTTAAGAGGGTTGCTCCTGTAATTGGTTTTCATTAAAGCAGCGGTTCAAAAACGATGATCCATTGATCAATGGTCTGCAGAGGGCTGGCTACTGCCACTACCTGCTCTAGCTTGTTCCAGTTGCTTCTACAGGCGTCCAGGATCTTTGCTGCCTAGTGGACTGAAAAAGCAGCTGGAAACAATGAAATGAAGCCGGCCTGTCTGTACTTGCATCAGCTACTAAATGGCAGAGGAAACTGGAGCTACCCTCAGATACCACAACTACCATTGGTACTGAAAATGACAACCAGCAAAAGGAAAGGCATGCCAAGAAGCGCAAGAGAAAGAATGATCAGAGCTGGACAGCATGTCCAGCTAAGTGGGGAAGAAGGGAACCAGCCACAGAAAAGCTTGTGTGGGAAGAAAGGAAAACAAGCAGACCAGGCAGCAGAGAAGCATATGCAGGGCTGGAGGAGAAGAGATAGGAAGGAGAAAGTCAGGTGAAGAGCAACAAAAGTGAGTGAGTAGTTTTTTGTTTGTTTTTTTAAAGTCAAAAGTCATTAATTCAGTTAAAAATACATCAATAACTTTCCAGATGTAACTTTTCCATGTAAATAACTGATGTAGTTCACCTAGGTATGGCTTGAAAAATCCAGTCACCTATAACAAGTAGGAACCTTTCCCAAGTGAGGGGCATCAGCTTTTACAGAATCTCAATGTTTGTTGTGTTTTTGTTGTTGTGGGTGTTTTTTTTGGGGGGGGGGGGGGGGGGGGGGGGGGATTGAGGATATTCTAGCCTGTATGGCTGAGATTAAACCTTTTGAATTTGAGCCAACTGTAATGGATACGCTGATGTCTGCCTGAGCTGGCTGACGCACACATCCAGAGCCAATGTCATTGAAGGGTGTAGGAGGTGGCACTGCCTCTTAGAGTGTCCAGGAGAGGCCCAGCTGCCACTGTCAGGGAGTAGGGAGCACTGGTGTGTGTCTTGCAACATCCCCCATCTCCTGAAACAGGAATATGTCAGTCCCACTTTTGCAGTAATGGGTATGAGGAGAGAGAACACTCCAGCAGAGGGCTATTAGTCAACTATCCCAGTAGAAGGGTCTATGGCGGGGTGGGCAAACTACGGCCTGCGGGCTGGATCTGGCCCACCAACTGTTTTAAGCTGGCCCTTGAACTCCAGCTGGGGAGCGGGGTCTGGGGCTTGCCCCCCTCCGGCGCTCCAGAGGGGGAGCAGGGTCAGGGGCCGCTCCACGCAGCTCCTGGAAGCCACAGCATAGCCCCCTCCAGCTCCTACGCATTCCAGTGGCCCCACTCCAACGGCCCCCTCCAGCACTCCAACAGAGAAGGGACATGCCACTGCTTCCGGGAGCCGCTTGAGGTAAGCGCTGCCTGGAGCCTGCACCCCGAGCCTCTCCCCACACCCCAGCCCTGATCCCCTTCCCTCCCGCCGAACCCTTCTATCTGAGCCCGGAGCACACTCCTGCACCCCAAGCCCCTCATCCCCAGCCCCACCCCAGAGCCCGCACCCCCATCCAGAGCCCGCACCCCAACCCCCTGCCCCAGCCCTGATCCCTCTCCCACCTGCCAAACCCCTCGATCCCAGGCCGGAGCACGCTCCTACACCCCAAACTCCTCATCTCCAGCCCCACCCCAGAGTCCTCAGCCCCTCCCTGCCCCAGACACCTCCCGCACCCTGAACTCCTCATTTCTGGCCACACCCAGGAGCCCGCACCCCCAACCAGAGCCCTCACCCCCTCCCACACTCCAGCCCCAATTTTGTGAGCATTCATGGCCCGCCATACAATTTCTATTTCCAGATGTGGCCCTCAGGCCAAAAAGTTTGCCCACCACTGGTCTATGGGATTTGATTGGAGGGTTCCTTCAAGCCCCTTCCCATCCATACGGCCATCAATTTGGTGAAGTACTGTCAACAAGACCTCCATCCCAATAAAACAGCCCTCAGCTAGGTGGCCAGGAGAGGGTCTACTACCACTGGTCTTCAATTGACTGGGGACTGGCTCCTCAAGGCTGTAACTCTCCAGGGAGAACTAGTGTCAGTTTCTGGAAGAGGGAAACCTCTGTTTACTGACACCATAGCAAAGAGCTGTTTGTATGCCTCCGCCCACCTCTCGCAGATGGATCTGTGTGTAGGACCAGCATACATGGATTTACTTGGATTGGGGCACTATCCAGCACTAAATTTGTTGAAGGAAAGCATTGGAAGTGGCAACTGGCATTAATTGCAGGCTCTGATTTTAGTCAGCAAGAGACTGGAGACTTGATCCAAGTAATGATGAATGCATGACCTGTAGATGACTAAGCAAGAGGACTAGAAATACCAGTGTATTTCAGTGTAGTGGCAGCCTTGGGCTAGCAGGTTTTCAAGTCCTGAATACAGGGGATGTTATGAGTTCATGAATGGGAAAGAAGTTGATCAGCATGATCACAAGTGGAAGGGGCAGAGGTCATAAAATCATTTCTCTGTTAAGCTGTGGTCCACACTATGAAAAAGGATTGAGCCTCTGCATGAAGGAAATAGCACTGTGCTTCCCATAGGACTTCATTACAGAGACTAGCACTGGGGCCCCGATCCTGACTGGGGCCTCTAATGGCACATTATTATTATTGAAGCTATTGAAGAAAATTAATTGGGTATAGTGCACTGCAGAATATAGTGGACATTCTCCCTCTCCTTTTACAGAAGGCTCATGCAGCAAACCTTTGAAAATATTTTGCTCCATACCTAGTGGATGATCAGTAGTTTGTCTTTAATGAAGCTGCAAATACCATTCCACAGGGCAACAAGAATAGTTTTTGCCAGCTGCACTGGGAAATCAAGGCTTCAGAAAGAGGTATTTAGTGGTTGTTTAGTGTTAAATGTATATGGGGAATTTAGGCAGGTAGTAAAATGTGCTTGCAGTAAGAATATTTTACTATTAAGATTCACCTCTGGCAGGAATATATTTGCAATGTTCTGTCTTCCATCAAACCCCCAAACACTATAACAAGTAAAGAAATAAACTCGCTGTAGAAACTTCCTGCCAGAACTGCTTTGAACCCAAGGAAGAATAAACCTTCATTACCTTCACCAGCTTGAACAAAACCTTGGTGGGTGTGTGGAAGGTGATGTTCTATGTTTATTTTGCACAGAAAGGGTCAAGCACTCTATAGTGTTTCCATTGCAAATAGCATCACATGCATCTGAAGCACAATACTGTTATGAACAAAATAGACATTTATCTATAGGGCAAAGACCTACAATAATGTAATTGTTTTGTAGATTAATTGCAAAAGAAAATTCTTTTGCAATTAAAAAAAATAAGGGTGTTAACACCTTCTTTCCCTCCAACACCTTTTTCCCCTTTAGACTTTTCTTGAGTTTTAAATAAAGGCTGGGCTGCAAATTTCTGTCAATAGCACCTAAAAACAAACCTCAAGCACAGAAAGAAAGATCGAAAGCAGCAGGTGCATGACTGAAATCAAACTCAAAGGAGCTTTTACATTCATTCTTGTTACTCTGATAGCAGAGTTTGAGTGTAACACAAGGCACTACTATGCTACGCTTTCAGTGCCTCTCTGATATTTCAAAAGGTATTCAGAAAAAAATAAAAAGCAGAGGATGGACAAGACTGGAATGATAGCTAAATTGCAAATTAAGCGATGTGTACATGTAAAATCATCTTAATATAGAATTTCACGCACTGTTTCCCCTCACACCCATTCAAGGGAAACTTCCCCAATACTCCATCAGAACCAGCATAAATAATTCCCTGAGAAACATAGGTCAGAGGGATTCCTCAATGCCAGCAAAACACCAAATGGGTCACTTACATATGAATCTTTGACTCAAACTTGCAACTGCTGCATATCTGGAAATATGCATGTTCAGATGTCTCCTTAAAAACAAACATCAGACTAACGATGGTCCAGTTATACCTTTTATTGTAGAACCAAAAAGGAAATACCCTTAGGTTCAATGTGTGGAATTCAGAGCTCTGAAAATAACACACTACCTATTGCAAAAAAACAACAAACAATTATTACAAATAACTTTTAAAATATAGAAAAGGGAAGAAATATGAGCACAGGACTGACAGGCTGCTAATGGAAATACGTTATCTCAGTACCTTAAGCATAGCTTGCATCAGCATCAATGGCAACTGTGACCTCCACCCTATTTTCCATTACACAAGAAGAAACCTTGCTATTATGTCAGAAAAACACACATATACACACAAACTATAGGCCATGTGAAGAGTTGATATGAGTAAGTGGTTTGAAATTGGAATTTTTTTTTTAAATATAAAAAAACAAACAAACAAAAGAGTATATGGATCTGCCATTCAAGTCCTAAATCTTAATGTCTGTCAGAAGTCAAATGATTCTCAGAATAAAATCCCAAAAGCAAAAAGTTCTGTATTGAATATCACCCAAACCCAAGAGCAAATCTATTTTTTCCAATGCCGAAGAGTACAATTCTCCTGAATCAGGAAAAAACTGGAATAGCAGGGTGGCACTTGCTGTTGATTTACTGGCGAGCTTCACCTTTAAAATGCTTTCTGCAAACCCTGCATATGTGATTAAGCCTACATGCATAGTCAATCTCACACCCTCTATTTCCATATTAAACGCTTATAAGAAAGAGCAGAGCTGGTACCCACCTAGAACGTAGTCACTGCAGTCCAACATTGCTGTGAAATCCTCTACAGGTTCAGATAGTCCAAGGAAAGAAAAAGAGGGGGAAGACTATTTCTAACAAATTTATGCTACTGCTCTCAACAGAACAAGAAAGGGAGTAGGGGTGAGGGGGAGAAATACAACTTCAGTTACACCATAGCAATCTTCAACTGAACAGGGAAACTTCAGTTGCTCTGTGGAGTTTTAGTCTCTCCTACTAGCTGTGTCTGACATTGTCAAGGCGACTGAAGCGTGAAAAGTTCCCCTTTTTGTAATAAAACAGAAACAAAGATTGCAGCTGGCAGTTTCCATAATGAAGCTTAATCAGTATGCGCCTGATTAGGGCCTTATGCAAATCTCCCCTCGTTAGCACAGCAGCCAGCACTTTGAAGTCCATGAACAATTCATTTGCAGAGTACACTGAAAGCGTTCCCTGCATAATTTAAATCATGGTATAAATATTTATCAGCTCATTTGCATATTAATTGGCAGTGCATGAAGGGAAAAATTATCTCCCAAGTGCCAGCATAATAATTAGGGAACAAAATGAAATCTCTTCCAATAGCTTGGCTTCTCAGACCTAACTCAAGCACAGTACTGGTGGAGTAGGGAGGGAGAGAGACAGAGTTCTGTTAAAATGCCACTGAAATGACACATACAAATTAGAAACAACTCTACAGACTTTAGCACCTTTAATCTTATTCCTGCTGGCAACAATAACTTCAGTAATAAAGGGGATTTGGAAAAAGCTTTAATCCAAGAAAACAATTAGCAAGGTAGGAGCTGAACATGGAAAATACCAGGTTGACATCTAAATGTTAACATGAACTGTCACGAGATGGTCCCACTCAAAAACAGAAGGCAACATTAGGGGCAGAGAAGCAGCACACTTCTTTTTAAATGGTCAAAAAAGCCTGGTGATTCATTTTCTGCTAATAGTTTTGCAACACTAGATTAACAGCAGTGTATATGTCCACTATTGTGTAACATTTGACACCCATTAATCTATCCCATGTGACGTTGCAAATAATTTTTACACTTTCAAATGATTTCCAAGTAAAAGCTATTAATCCCTTCTACAAGTGTAAACTGAGAGCTAAATAAAGCTTACTCTGGAGCTCGGATTCCAGGAGGGGGATACTTGAGATCAGGATTGTGGTCCTTGGACTACCAATGATTGGCAGAATCTTGCCCATCAGTCTGCAGAATTAAACATTTTGAGACCCAAGCAAAGAGGGAGTGGAGATTGGGAGTGGTTGTGGTCCATGTAAGGATATTTCTTACAAAGTGGTCCACAGAATGAACATACCAGAGAACCACAACTTTAGACCAACTCTATTAAATAAAATCTCTGATATAATATACAAAATTCAATTTCCAAGACAGCAAGAACAAGATATGTCTCTATGGTTCAAGGGATAAATGCATAGCCTGGATGTGAAAACTCAGCAGCCCATTGTCTATTCAGGAATAAATGAAGCTATGGTCAATACTGGATGAATGCAGTCATGGCCACTTTCAGGTACAAATATATATGAAATTGCAGAGGGAAAGGTACTTCTTTAACTAGTTGCTCTTCTTGCTCCTTTATGAAGTGGAATTCAAATCCCACCCCTCCACACCAAAGAGAAAAGAAGAAGAAAAATGATTTCTAATTCCTGTACTACTGACTCAAATTTATTTTCACTCTGGACCTCTCCTGTTCAGCCTCACATCTCTGTCTACCTCTCAGGGTATGCCCACACCTCAGAATCATAACGGACAGCATCCACACTACAAAGTAACAGCTGTGTTCTGGATGGGTTGCTATAACAGTGGTGCTCTACTTGTTCCTATATAGCACTAAGACTTCTGGAGGAAAATCCCATGGTTCAGAGAGTTTCAGTAAATGGCACTATTCTATTAATGTTTTTGCCATGTATTGTGGGAGAACTATCCATCTGGGGATCCTAGGCAGAAATGGCACCAGCAATCCATTAAAGCAAGTCATTCCTGGTGTCTACCAGCCTCTGGCCAGCTGCCAGCACAGTGAGATGCCCTCTTTGGGACCATTCTCAAAGAATGGAGCTCCGTATCAGAGACTGATGAGTTCAAGTGCGGATACTGGAAGGTGCATGTGAAAAGGAGAATGAATGCTAAGACTCTGGGTCAGGAAACAGGGAATAAGTAGATGACAAGAAAAGACCAAGGGGTTGGGTACCTGTCATATTGTGGGAAGGCACTGGAGGATTAGTGCCCCTCAGTTGTTGTGTCACAGGCTAGCCTGTGTCCATGCTACAGATATGACATGTTGGCAGTTGACAAGGGAGGGTCACTCAAGGTCTGCCCTATATTTCCAGTTGTGCTAGCCAACTTGCATTACTACCACCACAAAGGGTTTGTGTGTAGGTTCAAGGGGTCAAGATAACAGTACTTGAGCTGTAACCTTGTGTTAACTTACTACTAAAAACAAGCCCTCGGTTATCTCCTCCTCAAACTAAACATGTCAAAAACAGAACTCATCTTTCCTTCTAAATCGTCTCCACTAAACCTCTCCATTCTCCAGTGATAATTGTGTTACCTTCCCTTTCACACAAGAATGGAATCTTAATTCAAAATAGCCAGAATCAGTTGCCTTTATGGCATGTTACTAAAACCTTCTGTTTACTAAGGTTTTGGGGGAGGACTGAAAGCCTGAGTGCGATGAGATTTGGGGTGGGGTACTGTAGAATTTACTGCTTCCAAATTACGGGCTAGTTAAGATCATTTAATTTTGTATTTGGGTTGCGCCATACTGCAGGGTGGTTATTCCTGCATGGATTGCCATTCTAAAGAACTGTCCTGGTGTCCTGAGCTGTGAATAGCTTTTTTTTGTGTGTGGGGGGGAGAGGGGAGGAAGGGGTATTTAGATCTAAATAAAATAACCCTTTCAAAATCCTGTCACTCTTTCCTCTAAGAGTACGTCTACATCAAGAGAAAAGGTACACCACTTTTCCTAGCGTAGACATACCTTAAATCATTTCCAATACGTCATCGCTGCAAAGACTGGTTCTCTCTCAACTTGACAACTGTAACCTTCTCCAATCTCACGTCACAGCACAAAACAAATCACATATGACTTTTTCCTGGTTAATCCTTCCCTCGCCCTGGCTTGCCATCTTGCCAAATTTAGACTGTAAAACAATACGCTCCTCAACGGCACTGCATAAATAATATATTTTTTTTAAAAGATAGTTATAAAGTAGAAAAAAGGCATCTTAATTCTTATTGTGAAAAAATCCAAAAATACTATTGGCAGAATAAGAGGCAAAATTATTATCAAAGGCCTCCCATCCCACATGCATTTAGGAGGAGAAAAGAATCTTCATTTTTACTCACACAAGTTTTGATCTATTAGTAAAATGTCACTTACTACGTGCCCTCAATGACAGCTAGGAAGTTTCTACTGTTAGGTATCTCCATTTGACAAGAGTGATCTTTACAAACTTCCCAGGCACAGTTCCTGCCCCAATACTGAAAGACTAGACTTGAGGCCAACAATACATTAGTCTCACTCCTGAGCATGGTACTGTGAATCCTACTGGGAAAGGGAGTCAGTAGCGTAGCTAGCGGGGTGCAGGGGAAGCAGCCGCTTCCCCCGCCTTTCCAAAAGCGACCGGAGGAGGGGGAGCATGGCATGCGGCCCGCAGCACGGCCTGGCAGCCGCGGCCGGAGGAGAGAGCGGGGGCGCAGGCTGGCGGCCCGGAGCACGGCCCGGCAGCCGCGGCCAGAGGAGCGGGGCGCAGCCTGGCGGCCTGCAGCATGGCCAGCAGCCATGGGGGGGTGGCAGGCACGGCCGGAGGAGTGGGGGGCGCGCAGCATGCAGCGCGGCCCAGCAGCCAGAGGAGCGGGGCACAGCCTGGCGGCCCGCAGCATGGCCAACAGCCATGGGGGGGGTGGCGGGCACGGCCGGAGGAGCGGGGGGCGCACAGCATGCAGCGCGGCCCAGCAGCCAATGGGGGGGCGGCGGGCGCGGCCGGAGGAGCGGGAGGGCGCAGCATAGTGGCCAGCAGCCGCGGCCGGAGGAGCGGGGGGGGGGGGCGCGGAGCGGCCGGGGAAGCCAAGGGGGCGTGGCCAGAGGAGGAGCCAAGGGGGGCTCCTTTTTTATATTTGCTCCCCCTCCTCTTAGAAGCTGGCTACGCCACTGAAGGGAGTATGGCATCAACCATAACACGTAACTCCCTTCTTAGTATCTCAAACTCCAGCCCAGTTTTCTCTCTCAGTAGCCATGCAAAACACTGGATAGCACAAGATTTGAAAATAGCCCTGGTAAGTATACACTGTGTCAACTAACACCGAAAATCCCCCAAGGAAGACTGCTTTCCATAGGTCATATCAGCCAAGAGTAATATGTTGGAGCCTGCCCTAGTCTCTAAACCACACATCAGAATACAACCCCCCCCCGCCCACATTTTGAGGCCTCAAACTCCATTTCTCAAATTAAGTGATGAGATTTCCTGTTACTTTTCAAACAGAACCCCAATGTATTGTGAACAGAAAACACTTATGAGCAAAACAAACCATTATTTATGTTAGCTCAATCCTCAGAGTAGTTAACAACGGACAATAGCCTCTTAATAATTAAGATTACAACTAGGTTCCATTATACATTCTAATTTTAGCTCCAACCCATGTTTTGGTTCACAAAACTAGTTTGATCTAAAAATTGCTAAGTCCTGGTCTACACCTAAAACTTAGTCAACCTAGCTACGTCGCTTGGGAGCATGAAAAATTCACAGCCTGAGACACGCAAGTTAAGCAGACCTAAGCCTAGGTGTTGACACCACTAGAAATTCTTCCGTCAACCTAGCTACCGCCTCTTAGGAGATCAATTACCTACACTGACAGCATCTGTAGTATAGACATAGCCCTAAGTTTACTCTGAAGGCTAAAAAGCAGTTTTCTGCAGAAGTCAAATAAAACTGATCTGTTAAGTTACAGGTCAAACTTGCTATGATTTGAAATTTTTAAATCTGCGTCTAAATTTTCTGTCC